AAACCACTTGTGCGGAAAGCCTGGAGGGACCCAGATTCTCAGAGGTCAGGTGGGGGGTATGTGAAGAGGCTGTTCCCCAGGGGTGGTAGCAGGGTTAGAGAATGAGGATGAACAGCTGGCTTATGACACAGTTGTTCCTGCCTCCTGGGTAGTCCTCAGGATTTCTCCCCTTTCCAGGCTCGGTCCCATGCCCCCCACCTTGGGTTTTTAATAAGGGTAGTGGAAATTGTACGAAGATTTCATCTTACATTTGAAGCCAAATCCATTTTTTTTGTAATGTTCACCTTCAAAATAGAGGTGTACATTCCATTCGATGGCACATTATACTCAACTAGATACAGTAATTTAAAATTTCCTAAAACAGAGAGACAAGCCTTTTCATGTGTTGTCACACTGCACTGAGAGTCCAAGCGATGTCAACAGAACTGAAAGGATCTTAGTAGCAGGATCTGCCCCAATCCTGCCATTGCACATTTACCATAAAGTTGGACTTTAATTTCACTTTGTCCCTAAAAAAATATGCTTAACTGACATTTCTTTTCAGGCTAATGCAGACAACAGATTGCATACTTCTCTATATCCATCCAGGGGCTTTGTTTCTCCTCTGTTCAGCTCCTATGGACTCACTCCTGGCAGAGCCGAGGCCCTAGCTCTGAAGCTCAAGGCCAGCAACAACACCTGCTTGCCCCAGAGGCTGGGGCATAAAAAGAAGCAGGCCTGCAGGGCCTCAGGTCTAAGCAAGAAGTGAAGGTACCATCACCAGGGGCTTTGAGGGAAGGGGCAGCGTTTGTTTCCTTTGCTGCCTCTGGCTCAGCTTCTAGGGACTCACTCAGCTTCTTGGTGCTGCTGGACCGCATTTCTGTATACAAACCCACACGATCTCTTCGTTCATCTGGTGAGGCCCTGCTCACGATCCCACCTGCTTCACAGACGCGATTAGTGGGAGCGAGGGACAGGGCCTTCTCGGTGGTGGCCCTGCGACTCTGGAACTCCCTCCCCAAAGACATCAGGCAGGCCCCAACATTGGCAGTCTTTAGAAGGAGCTTGAAAACCTGGATGTTCCGTTGTGCCTTCCCAGAATAAGGAATCCTAAGCAATATGTCCTCAATGCACTTTATGAGAGATTTAGAACTGTCTGCATGTCCACCTTTCCCAGAACATTCCTCCTATCCCCTTTAAACTTCCCAGCTTTTAACTTTAAAAACTTTTACATTTGGCCCGCCTCATGTTTTTAAAATGTGTTGCGTTCTTATTGTATTGTTTTTGCTTTTTATGAGTTATTTACTGTTTTGTTGTTGTTGTTTTTATGATGTTGTTGGGCTTGGCCTCTTGTAAGCCGCACCGAGTCCTGCGGGAGATGGTAGCGGGGTATAAGAACAATAAATAAATAAATAAATAAATAAATAAATAAATCTTGACTGGCCTCCATTTTATCATCATTGGTTCAGCACAGAGATACCAACATTTGTTTTTTCCAGCCATGGCCCTTGATTCACCTGAGCCCTCTCTTGAGTGAACACTGCCACTCCGGTTTGGCTTCTCATTATTCCCCTGATGGAACATCTGCTCTGTTAAAACTATTTTAATATGTTTATTGCATTTATATGTTTTTAATGTTTTATAATTTAATATGTTATTTTATTTGTTGTTGCACTTATTGCATTTATATGTTTTAATTGTTTTATAATTTGATATGTTATATTTATTATTTGTTGTATGATGCGGCATTGAATGTTGCCATAATCTGTAAGCCGCTCTGAGTCCCCTTCGGGGTTGAGAAGAGCGAGGTATAGATACAGTAAATAAATACAATGAAATAAATATATGTTGCAGTACTGCTCTTTACTCAAACAGGGTGTACCACAATGTGTATGTTGGGAACATTGTGTGCTAATATGTATCATTGACATAAATAATATATTACGGGGGGGGGGGGGGGGGGGGGGGGGGAGAGAGAGAGATAAGGTATGTATGACAGATAATGCAAATATTGTGCAGGCTTTTTTATTATACAGAGGGGTTGGAAAAATGAACTTATGTTTGAATAGAAAAAAAATGGACGCAGGTTAAAAATGAACTTGTTTTATCTTTCTTTCATTTATATTGTAAAATCTAAAAAGAAGACCATCTATCCTGATCCATGCTTCCTTGCATCCAGTTGTGTTTGTGATAGGAGAGTGAATTAATATGCTTGTGGACTTTTTTGTAGTGCTTTAACTGCCATGACTCTCCAGTTTGTGGAATTCTGGAGTTGGTTATGAGTTTACTGTGACATTTTATTTCCGTGGCTGAGGATTTTAAATGGTCATTTCTAAACTGCATATTAAACTGGACAGTGCTATAGCAGTTTAAGTGAAATCAGGTTTTATTCACATTTCTAGCTTCAAGGGACATAGTCCATTTCATCTCCAGAATCAATTCTAAAGTCTCACATGAAGATTTTTTATTTACATAATATACGTTTTTGGAACCACCCACATTTAAATTTGAAACACAGCCAACACAAGCAGAATTAAACCTTGGAATTCAAACACATGCTTGTTTCAGTTTTGGAGGGTAAAATCAGAAATTTAATCCTTACTGAAGGAAGTTACAAATTTTTGAATATATATTTTTCAATTATTCCTTTTTCCTTCAGGATTGTTTTTTGCCAAAAAAAACCCCACCCTTTTTGCTAAAACAACAAACAAAAACATGTGCTCTTGGGTTTTTGTGTGCAATATACACTGTTTATTTTGTATAATACTATTTTCCTCCACAATCAGTTTTGTAATTTAAAAATCCAGAAATCCAAAACAATTGTATGCTAATTGAGCATTTTCTCAGTTTAATGTCTTGAGGTATCCAGAGGTGGTAAAAAAGACACAAAAAGTAAGCTTTCTCCTTCCCACACCATGGTCCTATTCTACATATTAGAGAAGAAATTTTTATTTGCACCACATGCAATTAAGACTTGAGAGATTCCTTGAATATTTTTATGACAAAGTGTACACGTGTCGTCCTCTATGAACCATCATGGAGATAAAGATCTTCTGGGGAGGTCCTGCTCTAGGTCCCATCTCCTTTGTAGGCAAGGTTGGTGGGGACGAGAGACAGGGCCTTCTCAGTGGTGGCCCCTTGGCTATGGAACTCCCTCCCCAGTGATATTCAATCAGCTCCTTCTCTACTAGCCTTCAGAAAGAAAGTTAAAACATGGTTATGGGATCAAGCTTTTGGAGAATAACTGCATTGCAATAAATGAATGTAGAATCTGTGCAATGACAATTTTAATAATTTGATGTAATTGTTTTAGCTGTTTTAATTCTCTGGTTTTTAATGTAAATGTTTACAAATTGTATGCTATTTTAAGGTATTGGATTGTTGCTGATATGTGAGGCCACTCTGAGACCCCCTTGGGGTTGAGAAGGGTGGGACACAAATATGGTAAATAAATACACTTGTAATTTTGCTTTCATGCCATTCATACCTCTTTTCTTTGCTTTGCCTCCTTTGCTATGTTAACTTTATTTTGAGTCTTCCCTTTCTCCTAGGTGGGGACCCAAATCTGTCCAAAAGGCTAAATTGGGCTAGTTTGCCCAATGTAGGTCACTATCTTTTTCTATAACATATTTGCAACATGCAATTGCCCAATACCTATACACTAGAAGTGTGCAATTTTTGTAAGTCGTGTCAAATTTGTTAAATTAGTACTTATGATGCAATCTGTGGTGCATGGGTGTGGCCCGTGCCAAAATCTTAAGAATTGAAACTTACTCAATACTTTTTCATTTGAATTTTGTAAATCTCAGAAGCCTCCCGAAGACAGTTTCATTTTCAGAACAAGGAAGCAAAGCAAAGCCAAAAAGGCTGCCTTTTCTCTTTTAATTAATTGCATCTAACCATTAGGAGAGGGAAGCAGCAGGGAGAAAGCAGAGTTCACTGGGAAAGAGACTAAGAAAGCACAGAATTCTGGGAAATGTAGTTTGGGAAGATGAGGAGCTCTATACCAGAGAATTCAAAAGGCTAAACTACATTTCCCAGAATTCTACTCAGCATCAGTAAGCCCCAATCAGGTGAGGGGAGAAATTTGTTCCTCTGTAGCAGTAGCCAGCCAGAGTTCCAATAAATTGTTAAATATGCAAAAAAGAGGACTCACTGGTACTTCTAGTAAGTAAATCTCTTTGCTGGGCTGGGAAGAAATCCCAAAATGGAAGTTCTATTGGTTAATAGGAAATATATTCAATGAGATAAAATTCCCTAAAATCAGTAGATGTATGAATATTTCTGAAAGTTGGGGGGAATGTTCCCCCATTATCTTGTATCATTGTATATAAAATTCAAGGAGATCACTCTTGTACTTTTTAAAAAATTGTTTATAAAACTTTGAAAATTTTCCAGAAATCCGTGGATGAATGAAACAATGGGCTAATGGGCTCAATGGGCTAACTCAGTGGGCTAACTCAATGGGCTAACAGTGGTAACAGTGGTAAATGTTTTCTACGATTGTGACAAGCTTCACCCCAATAGCTGTAAAACTGAGGGAGAAAGGAACCCCTGAAGTTTGCTCACTTGCGCAATGAAATTTAATTACTCTTGTCTTAGTAATGATTTTTTTCCACTAACAACACTTTAGAAACACTTTAGAAAGTGTCCCCTAATTTTGTAATGAGTTTTAAAACTTTTTTTCATCAATCACACAGCCCTGTTATGCACACTATATATTCTCATGTATAACTCTTGAAATTTTAGTTAAAAAATCAGTCCCAAGGAACAGGAGTTGACTTAATCACTGGTCAATGTAAGCACTGTACTTTAATTTATAAAGAGAAAGAGAGAGGAGCTATATATGTTCTGGGTTACAATATCTCCCCATTGTCTCTCCTTTCAGTTTGGAATGTTTTTATTTTCTTTGTCACCAAACGATTCTTATCAGAATTTTTTAGATACAGAGCAGGACTATATGTGAAACAAACCATTATTGTAGCTTTTAATGTATTCTTCCCCTTTCTTTCCTTGAAAAGTATGGAAGAAATGAGAGTGAAACCGGCAGTCAGAGAATCAAACCAGTATTTGAAGAGGATCCAGTTTTTGGCCGGCAAACATCCTACCAGCATGCTGCAGTCCACATACCAACAGATATATATGATGGCTGTAAGTAGTGAATAAGCTTATAGCATTTTCCTATGTGTCTCATTCATACCATATATGCCTTGATAAGCTGTAAAAGTAAAGTTTTTTTGTTATCTGTTCAATATATGCAGCTCTTGTCCATCATGAAGGAAGGTGTGTTTCCCATATATTCCATAAAGATGAGGAGCTTCTCAGGAGTAGTGACCACCCTAATTCAATGCTTGTTTCTACTGAGTTTTCCTTTATTAATAAAATGTCATCCACATAAAGATTTATCCAATGATGAAGGAGGGGCTGGTGGTCCCCTGAACAATAGAATCATAGAATCATAGAATCAAAGAGTTGGAAGAGACCTCATGGGCCATCCAGTCCAACCCCCTGCCAAGAAGCAGGAATATTGCATTCAAATCACCCCTGACAGATGGCCATCCAGCCTCTGTTTAAAAGCTTCCAAAGAAGGAGCCTCCACCACAGAGTTCCACTGCTGAACGGCTCTCACAGTCAGGAAGTTCTTCCTAATGTTCAGATGGAATCTCCTCTCTTGTAGTTTGAAGCCATTGTTCCGCATCCTAGTCTCCAAGGAAGCAGAAAACAAGCTTGCTCCCTCCTCCCTGTGGCTTCCTCTCACATATTTATACATGGCTATCCTATCTCCTCTCAGCCTTCTCTCTTTCAGGCTAAAAACGCCCTGCTCTTTAAGCTGCTCCTCATAGGGCTTGTTCTCCAGACCCTTGATCATTTTAGTAGCCCTCCGCTGGACACATTCCAGCTTGTAATGTCTCTCTTGGTGCCCAGAATTGGACACAATATTCCAGGTGTGGTCTAACCAAAGCAGAATACAGGGGTAGCATTACTTCCCTAGATCTAGACACTATGCTCCTATTGATGCAGGCCAAAATCCCATTGGCTTTTTTTGCCGCCACATTCACATTGTTGGCTCATGTTTAACTTGTTGTCCACGAGGACTCCAAGATCTTTTTCACACGTACTGCTCTCGAGCCAGGCATTGTCCCCCATTCTGTATCTTTGCATTTCATTTTTTCTGCCAAAGTGGAGTATCTTGCATAGGTGCAAGAAATGACTTGTAATGGGATTAACTATCACTGTTGTGTGAACACAATGCCCCTGATGGGTCTTCCGAAGACTTTATTGTCCCTTATGTATTTAGTCCTGATTGAGTGCAGCACCGTGACCACCAGATTCCCATACAAGACCTTGCAGAGAGTCTTGTCCATCCTTAGAAGGCAAAATGTCTGGTGACTGGGAATAAAAAAGGGAAATGGTCTTTTCAAAGACAGTGGCATGGTTTTCCCATCAAACTCAATACCTGAATGGCAATAGCTGATTGGATCCAATCAAATGCAAATGAAGCCTGGCAAGATGTTGGTTGATCTTCCCAGAACAAGAAAAATGTAGGTGAAGGTCATTGCAAGGCTAGGCTAGCAATGTCTCCAATCATGTTATAAAGCAGGGGTCCTCAAACTAAGGCCCGGTGGTGGCCCCCCGGCTGTGGAACACCCTCCCTGTAGACATCAGACAGGCGCCCTCCCTTATGACATTCCGCAAAAGACTAAAGACATGGTTATTTGAGAAGGCATTCGACTAAGTGCTACAACAATTGGCAATGATGACTGGAACGGAATATGGATAACGAGATTGGTTTATGATTCTACGATGAGACGGCGCGGATGATTTAGTGTAATTGTATTAATGATTGTTATGTTGATATTATTGTTGTGATATTCCCTTTTGTAAACTGTTTTTATATGTTGTACACCGCCGTGAGTCGCCCTAGGGCTGAGAACGGCGGTCAACAAATGCAGTAAATAAATAAATAAATAATAAATAAATTTACCCGGCCCTCGCTCAGGGTCAACCTAAGTCTGAAATGACTTGAAAGCACACAACAACAACAACAACAATCCTATCTCATCAGCCAAAAGCAGGCCCACACTTCCCATTGAAATACTATATTTGTTAAAATTTGTTAAAATTGTTCTTCATTTTAATTATTGTATTGTTTTTAAGTGATTTTCCCAAATAAGAGATGTGGTATGCATAGGAATTCATTCATGGGTTTTTTTTAAATTGAGGAACTGTGACCTGGCCCTCTGTTTAAAATGTTTGTGGACCCCTGTTATAAAGTGAGATAAAAGCATAAACAAGATTATACTTATACACTAGGCTTGGGCAGTTTCGTTCGTTAATTTCGTAATTCGTTATTAATTCGTATTTAAATTAGCTTACGATCCAATATTGAGCCATGCAGGAATAGTGTGTGGAGTAAATTAGATTCGAAACAATTTTTTCAATTTATTTCGTAATTATTTCGTAATTATTTCGAAATTTTTCGTAATTATTTTCGCATGTCTGGTGCAAGTTTTATAGTTGTTGTTTGTTTTATCACACCAACAGTCAACAACAGAGGGAGAGGGAAGCTTCAGAAGTTCCCCCTGTCCCATTTGGAGGGTTTTTTTTTAGCATATTGCGCAATCGCGTCCGCCATTAACGAATCGATTCGTAATTTTACAAAATTTCGTATATTTCGAAATTTTTTAAAGGAAAATTTCGGAATTATTAAAAAAACGAAACGCAAGGGCCCCCTAAAAACAAAACGAGTTTAGAACCAATTTTTTCCGTGGTTACCCAAGTCTATTATACACATATGAGGTGCCGTAGATACAATTCCCTACTGGAAGCCTGGTTCCCATGGGTTGGGGGGCTTACATACAGATTGGGGTACATAAGGCTCCATAAGGGGCTCCTATCTCCTATCTCCCTTGGTTGTCTTATGGAGATGAAAAATATAAAATTATAGGAAAGGACAGTGGGAAATCCACATGAGGTTCCCAGGAAGTCAAGGATATCTAGACATAGAATCATAGAATCCTAGAATCATTCAGTTGGAAGAAACCTTGTGGACCATCTAGTCCAACCCCTTGCCAAGAAGCAAGAAAATCTCATTCAAAGCACCACCGACAGATGTCCATCAAGCCTCTGCTTAAAAGCCTCCAAAGAAGGAGCCTCCACCACATTCCGGGGCAGAGAGTTCCACTGCTGAACAGCTCTCAGAGTCAGGAAGTTCTTCCTAATGTTCAGGTAGAATCTCCTTTCCTGTAGTTTTAAACCATTGTTTTGCATCCTAATCTCCAGGGCAGCAGAAAACAAGCTTGCTTCCTCCTCCATATGACTTCCCCTCACATATTTATACATGGTTATCATATCTCCTCTCATCCTTCTCTTCTGAAGACTAAACATGCCCATCTCTTTAGGCCACTCCTCATAGGGCTTGTTCTCAGACCCTTCATCATAACAGTCGCCCTCCTCTGGACACATTCCAGCTTGTCAACATCTCCCTTCAATTGTGGTGCCCAGAATTGGACACAGTATTCCAAATGACCAAGGCAGAATAGAGGGGTAGCATAACTTCCCTGGATCTCGACACTAGACTCCTATTTTATTTATTTATTATTTATTTATTATTTATTTATTATTTAAACTTATATGCCGCCACTCCCCTGGGGCTCGGAGTGGCTTACAAGAATGGCTAACAAATCTAACAAAATTTAAAAGCAATTTTAAACAATTTTAAAACAGCAATATCAAACATTAAAAGCCTGTCGAAACAGGTATGTCTTACATGCCCTGCGGAAAGCTGGTAAGTCCCGCAAGGCTCGGACTTCAGGTGGCAGAGTATTCCAGAGTGATGGTGCCACTGCTGTGAAGGCTCTGCGTCTGGTTGCTGTTAGATGCAAGGTCTTGACACTGGGGACTTCCAATAGATCTTGGTCCTCTGAATGGAAGGATCTCTGGGGTTGGTAGGGGGTGAGGCGGTCCCTCAGATACATCGGCCCCAGACCATGCAAGGCCTTAAAGGTGAGTACCATCACTTTGAAAGTGATCCTGTGCTCAGTTGGTAACCAATGCAGCTGTAGTAAGATTGGTGTTATGTGGCATCTCATCGGAATTCCCGCAAGAAGCCGAGCAGCTGCATTTTGTACCAACTTGAGCTCAGAGGAAGGCCAATGTAGAGGGCATTACAGTAGTCCAGTCTTGAGATGACCGTGGCCTGGATCACCGTAGCTAGGTCATCCCTGGACAGGTAGGGGGGCAGCCATCTAGCCTGCCGCAGATGAAAAAAGGCGGTTCTGCTCACGGCGGAGACCTGGGCCTCCATCGTCAGCAGAGGGTCCAAAGGGACTCCCAGACTCTTTACTAGCGCCTCGCCATCCAGGGTAGGCAGCTGGATGTCCCCACTACCTAGTCGACCCAGCCATAGGATCTCCGTCTTTGCTGGATTGGCACACAGCCATCCAGTAACGGCCTCGAGGCACTGATGGAAACAATCGGGTACAGAGTCTGGTCGGCCTTCCATCTTCAGCACCAGCTGAGTGTCATTGGCGTACTGATAACACTCAAGCCCAAAACCTCGAACCAGCTGAGCAAGTGGTCGCATATAGATGTTATACAACAGAGGGGAGAGAATGGCCCCCTGAGGAACCCCACAAGATAGAGGGACCTCTCCGAGACCAGGCCTCCCCTCTCCACTTGCTGCCCACGGTTGTGAAGAAAGGAGGACAGCCAATTTAAAGCTGTCCCCCTGACTCCAGCAACAGCAAGGCAGTGGGTCAAAAGATTATGGTCGACTGTGTCAAATGCTGCTGTGAGATCCAATAACACAAGCAGCGCTGACCCGCCCTGGTCAAGCTGGCATCGAAGGTGATCCGTGACGGAGACCAGCACAGTCTCTGTCCCATGCACCACAGGGAGGCTGGACTGGAAGGGATCTAGTCCGGCTGTGTCGTCTAGGAATTGCTGCAACTGTTCCGCTGCTGCCCTCTCAATCACCTTGCCCAGGAACGAGAGATTCAAAACTGGGCGGTAACTGAAGGGAACCGAACAATCTTAGTCTGGGAGAGACCACCGCCTCTTTTAAACCCTCTGGAAAAACTCCTTGCTCAAGGGAGGCCAAAATCCCATTCGCTTTTTTTTTTTTTTGCCACCGTATGACATCGTCCTTG